CCGGCGCAGAAAAGGGGCCCCCTCGGGGAAAGAAGATCCCTCCTCCGGTCCTAGACATGGAGATAGAGACTTCCCTCCCCACCACCCCGCCTCCCCCGGCAGCTGCGTTGGAACTCGCTCCCCTTGAATCCAGAGGGGAGGAACCCTTCCGCTCGCCCGAGGGCACCGGCCACGGGAGGAAAAAGAGGAAGAGGAGAGAAATCCCCTCTCCCGAACCAGCCCCCGACTACCCACCACCACTGCGACTACTGAATGCCAGACCCTGCCGCCCTCCCTGAGCGACAGCTGCAGTCAGACCAGTCTACCAGAGCCCCCCTCCCTCAGCCACGGTCAAACCCAGACCACCCCGGTCCAGGTAGAGGCTAAACCCCTCACAACCAGGCTCCTGGAGGAAGCTCAAAAGGTGATTAGATACTATAAGGCGCCCAACACGCCTTGTGCCGACCACCTCCACGTCGGCACGATCGAAATCACACCCCTCGAAAAGGACGAAGGCTCCTTCATACTGATTCAGCTGATAGGACCGGAGTCCTTCCGACATGAGATCTCCAGCTACCAAGATCTCTCCCACTTCTTCTTGGGAGCCCCCAGACACTTCGTCGCATACTGTACCGCCCTCCTCACCAAGAGCCTCTACAAGACGCCAAATCCTAAGGATGAAGCCATTGCCATGAGACTTCTTGCAGGACACCGCCGGTAAACACCACGCTCGCCAGCCGACGCCGTGCCTTCCCACGCTCCAACCCACGCCCAACTTTTTCCATATTATTGAGTACTTTATTATCACCTTCTCCCCCCCCAGCCAAACCCCCACCCCCCCGCAGCTTTATTAGATTAGTTCTGTAAAAGTTACATTTTTTTGGGTCGCACTTCTTTATTTATTCATTACGCTTTTTTTTTCTCCCAATAGTATAAAGTGCTTCCCCGTGTGCGAAATACGCTATTAGTCGGAAAGCGCACGTAAAATCTCCTAGTGTTACTCACTCACTCACTTTAGATTTTTAAATTTTATTTGGGAGGATAAACCAGGCCCCCCCCATGGAGGACTAGGCCTGTTTATCAAAAATGCTATCCAGTTCACAGAATTATCCATCCCCACTCCTAATCTAGAAGTCCTGGCGGCTAACATCACTATCAATGACACTAAAATAACTGTATTTAACTGCTACCACACCAAAACCAAACCGTTTAACCCTGAAGATTTAGAAACTCTCTCCAAATTTATAGGCCCAAATACCCTCATTCTAGGAGACTTTAATGCACATCACCCACTGTGGGGCACTAAAAATTATCAAGATAGATTTGGAAAATACATAACAGAATGGTTAGACACCAAACATCTCATTAGCTTAAATGACAATAGAGCCACAAGATTCCCTAACAGCCACTTACAATCCCCCACTGCAGTGGACCTATCCATCACCACCCCCCAACTCTTCCAAAAACTCACATGGGACCCCCACAATGACACCTGGGGTAGTGATCATTTCCCCATAAAAATTTCTATAAATATCCTTCCTGACAAACCCCTATCTGAGCCCAACTCCACTTCTGCCACCCCCAAACAAACTAAATTCAACTTTACCAAAGCTGACTGGCAGGAGTTCAACATATTATGCAACCAAATAGACACCCACAACATACATAGTACTGACATCGACACCTTCAACACAAACCTCAGCAATACTCTATACAACATATCTATTAAATGCATTCCTACAACCAAAATAAAACCCACACATAACACAGTACCATGGTGGAGCCCTGAAATTATTCAATCTAGAAAACTCAGGAAAAAAAGCTCTCAATAAGGCTAAACATGATCGAACTAAACTCCATTTGGCTCATAAACAAAGAAATCTTACTAAAGAACTAATCATGGCAACAAAAAGAAACCATTGGCAAACTTTTACATCAACCTTGAGGATGGGCAAACAAAATTCAAAAATTCTGTGGAATAAACGTAAAGCAATAAAAGGCATTGCCAAATCTTTCAACTCGCCCAACTTTCCCCTACTTAAAACAGATAAAGAAAAGGCTAATGCCATGGCCGACCATCTTTCGACCGTAAGCAGCTCCGCCAACCACTCCAAACACATACAAGATACTATAAACACTCAACCTGCATTTCAAAACAGATCACCACTCTCACATCTTGCCATAAACAAACTTATCAACATCCACGAAACTTCAAAAACGCTTTAAACAGCAAAAACACAGCCCCAGCCACTGGACTAGACAACATAAGTTACAAAATTCTAAATCATGTCCCCATCAAAATTCAAAAATTAATACTCTAACTTTATAATCAGATTTGGACTTCTGGCCACCTCCCCAAAACATGATAAAATGCTCTAGTGGTGCCAATTCTAAAACCAGGGAAATCCCCAAATGACCCTGATTCCTATCGCCCCATCTCTCTCACATCTCATCTATGTAAAATCATGGAAACAGTAATAAACAACAGACTAAAGCATAAAATACAAAACAATAGCCTTATAAAAGAGGACCAGAGTGGCTTTACAGCAAACAGACAGACCCTAGATCATATTTTAAATTTGGAACATGATGTCAGGACAGCTCAAGCACAAAAACAATACACTGTGGCCATTTTTATAGATTTTTCTAAAGCATTTGATATGGTTTGGCAACAAGGCCTAATTCAAAAATTAATAAATAAAGCAATTGATGGGAGAATTCTAAATTTCATTCATTCTTTCTTAAACAACAGAAACATAACAGTAAAATCAAGCAACACCCTATCAGACCCCCATACTCTTGAAAATGGCACCCCCCAGGGAAGTATCCTGTCCCCCACCTTATTTAATCTAATGATTGATGACATATTCCCATCCACCCCAAAAAAGACCACCACAGCAAAATTCGCTTATGATATATCATTTTGGTCGTCATCAACATCCATCAAACAAATTGAAAATAGAATCAAACCAACTCTTGCGAAACTAGAAAACTGGGCTTCCCAATGGGGGTTCAAAATTAACACCAAAAAAACCATCGGCATTGTCTTCAAAAAACCCTTTATGACAAATTTAACATCCAAACTTACACTCCTTAAAGAAAATATTAAATTTCAAAAAGAAGCAAAATTCCTAGGAGTCACATTTGACCAACATCTTACATGGGCTCCCCACATCAATAACGTGGTCAACTCCTGCCAAAAAGATATTAATCTAATGAGAGCCATCAGCGGCTCTCACTGGGGAGCTGACAAACAAACATTATTAAACATATACAAAACCCTTATTCAAGCAAAAATAGATTATGCCGCTCCGGTTCTCCACTCTTTAACAGATAAACTGGAAAAAAAGCTCAATTCAATACAATATAAGGCCCTTAAGATAGCCCTGGGGACTAGAAATGGCACTTCCCTTAATACACTCCAAATCATCACAGGCATTACATCAATTCAACTTAAACGACATTAATCTATACTTAGTGACTGGGCTGGGGCACAACAAAACCCCATTTACAACGAAATACTCCACAAATACAAAAACTCAAGACCAGCTACCCTCAAAAAGTTCAAAAACAAGACAAACATAGCACCCTTCATAACACACCTGCAAAATCTCATTAAAACACACAATCTAGAACACATAACTCACTCATCCCCAGACAACTCATACATTCTTGACACCCCCCACCCCCCCCCCCCCCCCCCCCCCCCCCCCCCCCCGAAACAGACATATCTCTAACAATACTATTTAACAAGCATAACAAACTTACAAACTTAGAAAAGGGAACAATATCACTTAATTATATCCACGACAACTGGCCGGAACATACACACATCTATACAGGTGCATCATCAACAGTAAAAACAAAAAAACAGAGCTGGGTGTCCACACAACACAGCCCATACAAAGCACAAAGAAATACCAATATGCAAACTATTCACATACAAACACAGCAGAGCTACTAGCCATTCTTCAAGCCTACAAACAAGCAGAAACATCCAACCATAACAAGAACATCATAATTTCCGACTCATTAAACTCAATAAAACAATTAGCAGACAAATTTTCTAAATGCAGACCCGACTTAATCAAACAAATAATAAACACCCATACAAAACTCAAAAGAGCCAACAAAACAATAACATTAGTATGGATACCCAGCCATACAGCCATACAGGCATAACAGGAAACCAAATTGCAGATCAAACAGCAAAAATAGCTACAACTGACCAAATACCCACTTTACAATTCCACACAAGCAAAACCGAAACAAAAACACTAATAAAACACAATATAATACAACAAAACTTTAGCAACAACATCAAAAAATGTAAATCTCAATGGATCAAAACACTATTCAGCAAACCAACAACAAAATGCAAAAACTACACAAATTCCATCTTAGCAGACAAAGTCATAAACAGAATACAAAGCAACCAAACCAACTTAAACGCAACACTATACAAGCAAAACAGACATACAAGCCCAAACTGCATTCACTGCAATACAATAGAAGACATAAATCACATATTCACCACCTGTAGCAAATATAAAAAACAACAACTAACACTCTATAACTCTCTCCCACCCAAATTCAACAACAATATAACAATGCTATTCAAACCTGACAATCCACCAGCCACTTACCTACAAATAGCCACCTTCCTCAAAGACACCAATTTAATAGAAAAAATTTAGACCCTCCCAAACAATCGGATGGATGGATTTAGGAGATTTAACGTGCGCTTTCCGACTATTAGCGTATTTCGCACACGGGGAAGCACTTTATACTATTGGGAGAAAAAAAGCGTAATAAATAAATAAAGAAGTGCGACCCAAAAAAATGTAACTTTTACAGCACTAATCTAATAAAAGCTAAGGGGCAGTGGGTTTGGCTGGGGGTGTGTGGGTGGTAATAAAATACTCAATAATATGGAAAAGTTTGGGCGTGGGTTGGAGGGGAGAGGGTAGGCGTGGGAAGGCACGGCGTCGGCGGGCGAGCTTGTGTGGCGACGAGGATGTTTACTGGGAAACGCCAGCGAGGAGGAGGTTGGCGAGCTTGCTTTCTTCATTGGAGATGTCTTGGAAGGATCCCTTGATGAGGCGAGCTGCCATGGCGGCGATGAAGTGGTCTGGGCAGGCGAGTTCGCTCTGCTCCAGAAACTCCTTCAGGTCGGTGAAGTTGTGGATGTCATGCTCAAACCGTTCGCCCTCTATGGTCTGAACCATGACCAGGGATGGTAAGGGGCGACTGCTTGGCTTAATCCAGTTTGTGCGAGTTCCGCAGGCCGGTGGTGGTAGGCTCTTGTGGGCTTCCAGTAGACTGGTCGCTTCCCGGGAGAGAAGTAACCGCTGGTCCTCCGGTTTTTCCATTTGAACTGGGTCCGGGACTGGGTCAGTCTGGACTTGGCTAGAGTTGAGAGACGGGCCTGGTGGTGTGGCGGTCTGGGTCTCCGTGTTTCTGCTTGGTGGTGATGGAAGAGGGGGAGAGTCGGGGGAGAAGATACTTTTCCTCTTTCTCTTCTTTCTACCATGTCCTGTCCCTTCCGGCGTGCGAAAGGGCTCCTCCCCTCTGGATTCGAGGGGAGCGAGTTCCAGTGCAGCTGAAGGGGGTGGAGGGGTGGTGGGAAGGCTCTCCTGGATCTCCATGGGGGCGACTGGTGGAGCCTTCTTCACTGTGGGCGGCTTGGCCTTCTGTACCGGGCGTGGTGCAGCAGGGGCAGGGGCCGGGGTCTTCTTCTCCTTAGGCTTGGTCTTGGCCGGAGCTTTGACCAGAGGCCTTTTCCTTTGACCTAAGTCGAAGGAGATGGAGAGGGTGGAGGAGTTGGACTTGTACGAAGTCCGAAGGGAGTAGTCCCCGACCCTGTATCATTATGTTAAATAGTGTGGGGCTAAGAATGCTGCCTTGGGGAGTGCCGTTTTCTAGGGGACACTGGTCCGACAAGGCCTGGTCTATACCCACTGTAATTTTGCGTTTTTTAAGAAAGCTTTGGATGTAGTTTACGATTTGACCTTTTAGTCCTATTTTTTTAAGTTTTTGGATTAGCCCGTTGTGCCATACCATATCAAATGCTTTTGAAAAGTCCAGAAAGATGCCTGTAGTGTATTGTTTGTTTAGTTGTCCTGTTTTGATATCCTGTTCAAGACAGGGTAGGTTATCTAAGGTTGAGCGGCCAGGAGTGAAACCGCTTTGGTCTGAGTTTATTATATTGTTTTGGGTTAAGTAGTGTTGAAGTCTATTTTTGGTCATGGATTCCATTACTTTGCATAGATTGGAGGTAAGAGATATTGGCCTATAGGAGTTTGCTTGGTTGGTTGGTTTACCGGGTTTAGGGATGGGGATGATAAGCACCTCTTTCCAAGGGGTTGGTACCTGTCCGTTTAGATAGATTAGATTATAGAGTTTTAGTAGTGCCTGGAGTAGTTTGGGGGGGAGTTTTTTTATTATTTGGTAGGAAGTTAAGTCTAGACCTGGGGCTGTTCCCTTTTTCCTATTTTGGAGTACGTAGTTTAGTTCTTCTATTGAGTAGGGTTGGTTGATTTCTAGGTTGTCATTATTTGGTTCTTGGATAGGTTTGTCTTCTGCTTTGAGTTTTTGTTGGAATTTATCACTGAAGTTGTTATTACTGCTTGTGGCCGAGAAGTGGTTTGCTAGGTAATTTGCTTTTTTGCTGGGAGTTGTTGAGTTGTTTATGTTAGGTGTTTTTTTGTGACGTTTTAGTCCTCTAACGGCGTAGATTTTGTGCCAGACCGTTCTGGCGTCTGTGCGGTTGTTTAGTCCCTCGCAGAATTTTTTCCAATCTCTGGTTTTTGCTATTTTAACTAGGTTTTGGACCTGGTGGTTTAGTTGGTGAGCTACTGGTATGTGGTTGTGGTCGCGTTTGGCTTTATTGAAGGCTGATTTACGTTTTCGTCTAGTTAGTTCTATTTCCTCGTTCCACCAAGGTATAGAGGGCCTACCTGATTTATTGGGTTTTTTAAAGGGGATTGAGCTTTTGGCTTCGTTAATTATGTAGTCCGTTAGGTTTTGGCAGTATATTTCTGGGTCACTATTTTCTATTTCTTGTATATTAGCTTGGTTGCAGATATTTTGGAATTTATCCTAGTTAGCCTGGTTATAGTTAAATTTGGGTTCTGAGCTTTCGGTTTGATTGGGGACGTTAGTGTTGCCTATGGTGATGTTTATTGGGAAGTGGTCACTTCCTAGGGGGGCGTCGTGAACTTCCCATTGGGTACTTTGAGCTAGATCTGCTGTGCATATTGTTAGGTCGATAGCCGCCATGTCTCTATTGTTTTTATCGTATCTGGTAGGTTGGTTGTTATTTAGTAGTACTAGATCATTAGCCTCTATCCATTCTGAGATTAGTTTGCCGTGGTTATCTAGTTTATCCCCCGTGCCCCAGGAGGGGTGGTGGGCGTTAAAGTCTCCTAGGAAGATAGTTGATTTGTTGCCTATTTGTTTGAGAATATTTAGATCCTCCGGTTGGATTTTCTGTTGCTGCCAATGGTAGATATTTATGATGTTTATTTTTTGTTTTTTTAAGGTGATTTGGATGCCATTGGCTTCTAGGTTTGGAGTATTTACTTTGGTTTGTTCGTAGCTTATATCCTCTCTAATTAGTATAAGTAAGCCTCCTGATGCTCTAATTGTTTTGGATTTTGGTCGATCTAGTCTGACTATGTTATAGTTTGGTAGGTTGAATTTGGATTTACTTGAGAATTTAGTTTCCTGGCTGCACGCTACATGTGGTCCTTGTTTTAGTTTGAATCTAGCTTTAAGTTCGTGGCTGTGGGAGTTAAGCCCGTCCGCATTCCACTGGAAGATATTTAGGCCTGTCATTATTTGGGCTTTTAGTGTTTGGAGATTATGGTTTTGTTTTTTTTTGGTTTAATTTATAGTCCTGCGGTTGCTAGTGTATAACTTGCAGAGAAATCTTTGAAGTTTTGGGTGGTGAGTTTTAGTTTTTGTGCTACTTTGTGTAGGTTCTTGGAGCTAGCATCTGGTTTGATTTGTTTGAGCATGTAGGCTAGTAGGATTGTTATACTATTTAGTTTGGTAGTTATGGGTGGTTGGGGTTGAGGTTGAGGTTTACGTTTTCGGTTTTTGAGTTTTTTGGGGGCTGAGCGTGTAATTTCGTTGATGTCATCCTCAGTTTCGAAATTCGTATTCTTCTAAGTTACTCTGGTTAGTTTCCTCACTCTCCATGGGGGTTGTTTGAGTGTCTGGTTGTGTTTGCGAGTGCGTGCTGGGCATGTCCATGGGTTGGTTACAGTTTGAGTCTTCGGGTAGTGCTTGCTCGGGTGTGGTTGTTGTTGCCCTGATGGCTGTAGCTTGTGTGGTGTTGGGTTGGGGTATGGCGGGTATGGTGCGGTTTGTTTTGCGTGCGGGAGTGGATGCAGAGAGTGGTTTGGGTATGGCGAATGTTGGTGGGTTTTGTGGGTGTTGGGTGTGTGTGGTTGTTGCTTGGGGTATTTCCTGAGGGATACCATCCCATGCGGATTGTAGATGTCGGGCGTTGTTTGTTTGTGGTGTGTAGAGGTGTAGAGGTTTGTTTGGATGTTGTGTTGGTTTTCGTCTTTGGTGCTTGGCCGAGTCGATGTCTATGTGTCTGTTGGCCTGTTGAGTGAGGGTGTGTCTGTGGGGGCATTTGTTGGAGAGTGAAGAGTGGTTTATAGTTTTACAGTGAATGCACCAGGGTGCGCAGGCCCCCTGGGCATTGAGTTTGGGCACAAGTCCTACATTTAGTTTTTTGATATTTACAACCGTTAGCAGTATGATTATATTGTAAGCAGTTGGAGCATTGTTTGACCTGTTTGATGTAGGGTTTGACCTCTAGTTTGGTTGATGCGCCGAAAGAGTCCTATTTTGTTGGCAAAAAGTACCTAAGTTAGTGTGTTTACGGGGCCTGCTGCGCAGAAGTAAAGGGCGAAGGTGACCAGGGATGCAGTGAAGGTAGGTGGTGGGAGTGAAGTGTTGGAAGAGTCCAGCTTCCGTTTCTTAGGGTTTGTGGTGGTAGCAGGCGTTTCGGAAGTCTTAGTAGGAGAGGCGACTGTAGATTGGTTTCCGAATTCGTGAGGGATGAGGGTTTCGGGTGTCCGATCGGAGGTGTTGTGGGCCTCCGATGGTGTGGGTGTGTCAGTTTGGTGGATGTCTGCATGGGTGACGGTACGTGTATCGGACATTGTTGGTAGATGTGTGTGAGCGGATGTGAGGTTTTGTTTGGGGGGAGGAGAGTGAGCTGAGCTTAAGAGAGGGGTTTGTGTGTAGAGTGGGTGACTGGGTGACTGGGTGACTGGGTGACTGGGTGAGTGGTGTTTGACTGGTTTCTACGCTATTTTTGGGGTTTGTCTGGTGAGGTTGTTTGTTTAGTTAGGAGATTTAGAGGGTTGGTATTTTAAGTGGGCTTGGGGGTGAGTTACTTTTGCCTAGGTTTGAAAGGGTGTGTTGTGATAGTAACTAAGGGATTTGAGGGTTTGGTGTTTTAAGTGGGCTTGTGTGTGAGTAGTTTTAACCTAAATTGTATGGGTGTGTTGTGATAATTACCGGGGCCGGCTAGCAGTGGAGACTGTGCTGACTTGGGAGGCTTGCTGGGTGAGGTTGGCTTGGTGGCTGGATGGCTTGGGTTGCTTCGTGGGCTGAGGAGGTGTTGCTAGCTTGGAGTACAAACTGCAGATGGACGTGCTTACTTGCTTACTTACTTTGGAGATTTAACGTGCGCCTTCCGACTGATGCGTAATTCGCACACGGGCCCGGCCAGGCCATTTAATGTGTTTCCGAAAGGGGCGAAGGTGGTCTGTGTAACCCAAGAGGGGGGTTTTAGGGGTTGCTTATATAGAATTTGGGAATTTTGAGATTTGGAATAGATGCCGATGGGATTGGGGAGGAGAACCAAGGGAGCTGGGTATGGGGGATGTTTGTTTGTTTATGTGATTTTGATTTGGTAGGTTATTGTGTTTTTAGATGCGTTTTATTAGTTCCGTTTTTATTAAGAATACGCCTAAGGCCTTGAAGTTTTCTAGTTTATTTTGTGGGTTTAGTATTGCTTCTAGAGTTAGAGCCTTGTTTAGATTGAGGGTGGTTTGTAATGCGGTTCGATGTGTTAGGTAGTGTGTGCAGTGGATGAGTGCGTGTTCTGGGGTTTCTGGTTGTTTGCAGTGTGGGCATTTACCTGTAGTGTGTTTTTTAAATTTTTTTAGGTGGTTATTTAGGTTGGTGTGTCCTGTTTGGAGTTGAGTGATTACTCTGTCGATTTTTTTGGATGGATGGAGAATTTTGGGTTTGGTTAATGGTTTGCTGAGCACTTTTTTGATTTGGCTATCTGAGTTTAGATATAGGTTATGCCATTTTTTTGTGATTTTTTGCTTGTTTACACTTTTAATTTCTGATTTTGAGATGGGTAAGTTTAAGCTTATTTCTGGGATTTTGAGGGATAGTTTAGCTGCTTTATCGGCGTTTTCATTACCGTATATTCCTACGTGGGCGGGTACCCACAAGAAGGTTATTTGTTTGCCTGCCTTAGTTAGGTCGTTGGAGCTTTTAAGTATTTGATTTATTAATTTAGGTCGGTTTTTGGTATTTTTGTTTTGGAGGGCTTGCAGTCCACTTAGGGAGTCGGTAAGTATTAGGATTTTTTTGTGGTTTTTTGATCCTTGATTATGGAGGGCTGAGGCCATGCCCATTAGTTCTGCCGTGAATATTGATTGGTTGTTTGGGAGTCGGAAGGATTGTGTGGTTTTAGTTGGTTGTGTGGTATGGACTCCGAAACCTGTGTGTTTGGAGGTCGGATCTGAGGATCCGTCCGTGTAAATGTGACACCAATTTGGCCAATTTTCGTGTATGTATGCTAGTGTGGTAGTTTTAGCTATGTTTGGGTCGGTTTGTTTATTTATTTGGCTAGCTAGTGTTGTGTCTATTTTGGGTATTTTAAGTTTAGGGGTGAAGATATTTGATTGTTTGCAGTTTTGTTTAAGATTTTTAGTTTGGTGTTCATTTAGGTAGTTTGTTATTCTTTGGGATATTGGGGTAAGTAAGGGGTGTTTACGAGCTAGAGCTTGGTTTTTGGGGCTGATGTTTTGGTTTATTAAGTTTTGGATGAGAGGGTTTGATTGGGACGCGGCCCAGAAATTCAAGCTTAGCTGTTCCCTGCGTAGACTTAGTGGCATTTCTCCTGTTAAGGCCTGAAGTGAGGTGTAGGAGGTGCCATGTTGGGTGCGTGTAATTAGTTTGAGAGCCTGATATTGTATTGAGTCAAGTTTTTTAGATAGAGAGTTGTTTAGGGTGTTGTATATGGCGCAGCCGTAGTCTAGTTTTGATCTAATTAGTGATATGTAGAGAGAGAGGAGGGTATCTTTGGATGCTCCCCAGTTAGAGCCAGTTAGGCATCTTAGGGTGTTTAGGTCTTTACTGCATTTAGTTGTTAGGTTTTGGATGTGAGCATCCCAGGTGAGATGTTCATCGAAAATAAGTCCTAAGAATTTGGTTTGTTTTTGAAATTTGATTGTTTGATTGTTTAGCTGGAGGATTGGGGAGGCGGGTTTCATGTTTTTATGTTTGAATACTATTCCTGTTGTTTTTTCTGAGTTAAGGGAGAAGCCCCATTTGTCAGCCCATTGTTGTATTTTATTAAGAGATTTTTGGAGTAGATTTTGGACCATGTTCATGCTTTTAGTGCGGATCCAGATGGCTCCATCATCCGCGAATTTTCATGTGTTTACTTTAGGGGATAGGCCCTCGAATAGATCGTTTATCATTATATTGAAGAGGGTGGGGCTGAGGATACTGCCCTGTGGAGTACCATTTTCTAGGGGACATTGGTCCGATAGAGTTTGGTCTATACCCACGGTTATTTTACGATTGTTTAGGAAGTCCTGGATGTAGTTTATTATCTGACCTTTGAGTCCTATTTTTTTAAGTTTTTGTATTAGCCCATCGTGCCATACCATGTCGAAAGCTTTAGAGAAGTCTAAGAAGATGCCTGTGGTATATTGTTTATTTAGCTGTCCTGTCTTAATATCTTGTTCTAGTCGGGCGAGGTTATCTAGGGTTGAGCGGCCAGGAGTGAAACGTGATGGACGTGTGTGTGTGGGGGGGTTATAGCTTGGTTAGGTAACGTGCGTTGTGGGCTTGTGCCGGGAGCTGGCTGGTTAAACGAGAGTCTATTTTTAGTGTGTGGATATCGGAGTTGGTGACGCGGACGTCGGAGAAGACGACTCGCGGTGAGAATTTGGATCCCGATCCGAAAGTGACAGGAGTTAACTGGCTAGAAAAGTATTTAAATTTTTAAGTTTTATTTGGGAGGATCTAAATTTTGTCGAGAAGTTCGGCTTTAATGATAAATTGTGTTATGGCGTTGAAGATGTAAGGAGGATTGGAGGGGTTGAAGAGAAGTGGGAGATTCTGTTTGAAGTTAGGAGGGATAGCTTGATAGAGTTCAGAGTGAAGAGAGTTGTAAAAAGGACAGCTGTTAAAAATATGATACAAGTCTTCAGGATTTTTACAATATGTACAGGTTCCGTCTGGATGTCTTCCTTGTTTGTGTAGTGTTTGGTTGAGAGCTGTGTTGCCGCTAATATATCTGGAAATGGTGTTGTCTAGGTGGTTGGATGTGTTGAAGTTGCGACATTTAAAATTGGGACGGGTGGCAAATTGGTCTGAGCCATACGGAGTTGCAGTTTTGTATAATACTATTTTAGTTGTGGACTTTAATGGATCTCTTGATTATATTCTTAGTTTCTATCTTGGACGTGTGAAAGTATATTTCTAGTGATGGTTGTTGGGTGGCTACTTTGGCTGCGGTGTGGGCTATGTTGTTACCTGGTATATTGGTGTGCCCTGGGACCCAGAGTAAATTAATATGTTTGTTTTTCTCTTTAAGTTGGTTGGTGAGGGTGATTATATTAGCAATGAGGTCAGGCCGTGTTCTAGAGTGTTTATTTTGTATTTGTTTAAGAGATGATAGTGAGTCGGAGATGATTAGGAATTTTTGTTGGTTGATTGTTTTAATAGCGTGTATTGCTGTTAGAATGGCTAGTAATTCACCGGTGTTGTTGTTTGTGTAGTTTTTATAGTTGAAATTTGTAGTGAGCGGGGGGTGTTTGATCTATGTGTAATCCTAAGCCTGTGGTGTTGTTTGACTGAGATGCGTCTGTGTAGATGTGGGTGTGAGTGGGCCAGTTATTATGGATGTGGGTGAGTGCTAGTTTGGCTTTGTTTTCAGCTGGGATGCCGTTGCTAGGGGTGAACCGTTGAAGGGAAGTATCTACAAGGGGGGAAGGGAGGTCGGCTATGAATTGATTTGAGGGGGGTGAGTGAGTTATATTGTTTAGATTGTGGGTGATTAGTAGTTTATGTAAGTGGATGATGTATGGTGCCTTGTCGGGGGTGTTTTGAAATTTGTGTAAAGTCTGTTTGTTGATGTTGTATTTTTGTTTTATTGTTTTGAAAATTGGGTTGTGTTGGGCCCCAGCCCAGTAGTTGAGGATGGTTTGTTGGATTCGGTGTTTGATGGAGAGTGTATTGGTGATTAATAGGAGGGCGTTGTGTGAGGTCCCAGTCCTTGTGCCGGTGGCTAGTTTGAGGGCTTTGTATTGTATTGATTTTAGTTTGTTGTAGTTAGTGGTTGTGATGCCGCTTAAGACCGGAGCGGCATAGTCAATTTTTGATTGGATGAGTGTTTTGTATATGTTGAGTAGGGTTTGTTTGTCGGACCCCCATTTATTACCTTTGATAGCTCTCATTAAATTTAGATCTTTTTCGCATGAATTGACCGTTTTCAGTACTTGGGGGCCCCATGTAAGGTGTTGGTCGAATGTGATACCTAGGAACTTGGCTTCTTTTTGATAGGAAATGTCTTGATTATTAAGGTGAAGTTTGGGTGTATAATTTTGCATATATTGTTTTTTGAATAGCATGCCAATAGTTTTTTTTGTGTTTATTTGGAAACCCCACTGGGAAGCCCATTTTTGAATGTTATCTAGGACAGATTGGATTCTTGTTTTTAATAAATTAATGGAGGCCGAGGAGCTCCAAAAAGAAACGTCATCTGCAAATTTGGCAGTTGTGATTTTTTCCGAGTATTTGACATCTGAGAAAATTTCGTTAATCATGAAATTGAATAAAGTTGGTGATATGATGCTTCCCTGAGGGGTGCCGTTTTCAATGGGGTGGGTGTATGGGTTAGGTTAGGTTCCTAGGAGATTTAACGTGCGCTTTCCGACTCAAAGCGTATTTCGCACACCGGGAGGCACTTTATACTTTTGGGAGAAAAAAATCGTAATGAATAAATAAAGAAGTGCGACTCAAAAAAATGTAACTTTTACAGGACTAATCTAATAAAGCTGCGGGGGGTGGGGGTTTGGCTGGGGGGGTTGTGGGAGGTAATAAAATACTCAATAATATGGAAAAGTTGGGGCGTGGGTTGGAGGCGAGGTGGTCAAGCGTGGGAAGGCACAGCGTCGGCAGGCGAGCTTGTGTGGCGACTAGAGGCGTTTACTGGAGAACGCCAGTGAGGAAGAGGTTTGCGAGGTGGCATTCCTCCCGGGAGATAACTGGTAAGAATCCGTCGACGAGGCGGGCTGCCATGGCGGCGACGAAGTTGTCTGAGTAGACAACTTCGCTCTGTTCCAGGAACTCCTTGAGGTCCTTGAAGCTATGGATGTCATGCTCAAAGCGTTCGCCCTCTATGGTCTGGACCATAACCATGGCTGGTTGGGGGCGACTGCTTGGGTAGATCCTGTTAGTTGGTTTTCCACAGGCAGGTGGCGGTAGATGTTTGAATTTGTCCTTGATTCCGGACGCTACCCGGGTGAGTGAGACCCGGGCGTCCTCTGGCTTCTCCTTTGGCACTCGGACCGGGATGGTCTGGGTGTGGCTGTCGCAGAGAGTCGGGACTGGTGGTGGGGCGATCTGGGTGTGGCTGTCATTGAGTGCAGGGCCTGGAGGGTCGGCGGTCTGGCACTCTATGGACTGGGTGGTAGGAGTAGCTGGGATGGGTGTAGTGTCAGGGGAGAATATGCTTCTCCTCTTCCTCTTTTTCCTCCCATGTCCTGTCCCCTCGGGTGAGCGGAAGGGCTCCTCCCCCCTGGAGTCGAGGGGAACGAGCTCCGTCGCTGCTGTTGGGGGTGGAGGGGTAGTGGGAAGACTTTCCTCGATCTCCATGATGGATACTGGAGGGGTCTTCTTCACCTTGGGCGGCCTTTTCCTCTTCACCGGGAGTGGTGCAGCGGGGGTAGGGGCCGGGGCGGGTTTCTCCTTAGGCTTGGTCTTGGCCGGGGCTTTGACCAGAGGCCTCTTTTTTGACCTAAGTCAAAGATGATGGAGATGCTGGAGGTTTTGGACTTATAGGAAGTCCTGAGGGAGTAGTCCCCAACCCGGTAAGCCAGCAAGGGCTCCAGGATGGAGACAAGCTCCCTCGGTAATGACCTAGAGATATCTCTCATAGTCGGTTGGAGTGTTGAGAGCTTGGATGGACGTGTTTGCAGGGCGGGTGTCCAAGTTACTTACTTACTTACTTATATTAGGGGATTTTACGTGCGCTTTCCGACTGGAGCGTATTTCGCACACGGGCCCGGCCGGGCCATTTAGTGATATAAAAGGGGAAGCGAGAAGAGTGCAACCAAGGAGGGGGGTTTAGTGGTTGCTTATATAAAGTTTTGAAATTTTGAGATTTGGAAGACATGCCTTGGGGGAGTGGTTGGGACTAAGGGAGTGTGTGGGGGTGAGTTGTTGTTTTTAGATGTTTAGTGTTGGTGGTTTAGTGAATTTTTAGATACGATTAATTAGGTCTGTTTTGGTTAGGTAAATGCCTAGGGCTTTGAAGTTTTCTATTTTATTTTGGGGGTTGAGGATTGCTTCTAAGGTAAGAGCTTTATTTGGATTTAGGTTGGTTTGTAATGTTGTACGTTGGATGAGGTAGTGGGTGCAATGTAGTAGTACGTGGTCTATGGTTTCTGGGTGAGTGCAGTGTGGGCACTTCCCGTTTGCGTGTTTTTTAAGTTTTAGAAGATGGTTATTTAGTTTGGTGTGTCCTGTTTGGAGTTTGGTGATTATTCTATCGATTTTTTTGGATGGATGGAGGATTTTTGGTTTGGTAAGGGGTTTTTTGAGGACTTTTATGATTTGGGTGTTTGTGTTTTGATAGAGGCTATGCCATTTTTGGGTGATTTTGTGTTTGTTGATACTTTTGATCTCTGATTTACTTATTGGTAGCTTAAGGCTTATCTCTGGTATTTTTAGGGACTGTTTAGCGGCTTGGTCGGCGTTCTCATTACCGTATATTCCTACGTGGGCTGGTATCCAGGTGAGTACTATGTTTTTGCCTGCCTCTGTTAATTTATCTATACTTTTGAGAATTTGGTTTATTAATTTGGGGCGGTTTTTGGTGTTTTTGCTTTGGAGGGCCTGGAGTCCACTTAGTGAGTCTGAGAGTATTAGGATTTTATTTTGGTTTTTAGTGTGATGGCTGTGGAGGGCCGTGGCGATACCCATGAGTTCTGCGGTGAAGATAGATTGGTTGTTTGGGAGTCGGAAGGATTGCGTATTTCTTATTGGTTGGGCTATGTGGACTCCGAAACCTGTGTGATTTGTGAATGGATCAGCAGATCCATCTGTGTAGATGTGGCACCAATTTGGCCAGTTTTGATGTATGTAGGCTAGTGAGGTGGATTTAGCTATGTTAGGGTCAGTTTGTTTGTTTATTGTTTTGGCTAGGGAAGTGTCTATTTTGGGGATTTTAAGTTTTGGGGTGAATACGTTGGATTTTTTGCAGTTTTGTTGTAGGTTCCCTATTTGGTGTTCGTTGCGGTAGTTTATAATACGTTGGGAAATTGGAGTGAGTAGAGGGTGTTTCCTAGTTAGTGCCTGGTTTTTGGGACGTATGTTTAGGTTTAGGAGATTTTGTATAAGAGGGTTTGATTGAGAAGCTGCCCAGAAGTTTAGTGTTAAGTGTTGCCTACGTAGGTTTAGCGGCATTTCTCCTGTGAGGGCCTGAAGTGACGTAAGGGAGGTGCCTTGTTGGGTACGTGTGACTAATTTGAGGGCTTGGTATTGGATTGAATCTAGTTTTTTGGTTAATGTTTCGTTTAAGGTATCGTATATGGCACAGCCGTAGTCTAGTTTGGATCTGATTAGGGATGTATAGAGGCTGAGGAGGGTATCTTTAGAGGCACCCCAGTTGGAGCCGGTTAGACATCTTAGTGTGTTTAAATCTTTGCTACATCTTGTGGTTAGGTTTTGGACGTGGGCATCCCAGGAGAGATGTTCGTCGAATATTAGTCCTAAGAATTTAGTTTGTTTCTGAAATTGGATTGGTTTGTTGTTTAGTTTAAGGGTGGGGGTGGCCCGTGTCATATTTTTATGTTTAAATACTATTCCTGTGGTTTTTTCAGTGTTTAGGGAGAACCCCCATTTATCGGCCCATTGTTGTATTTTGTTTAGTGATTTCTGGAGTAAGTCCTGGGATGTTAAAATACTTTTAGAACGGATCCAGAGGGCTCCGTCATCTGCAAATTTGGAAGTATTTATTTTAGGGGATAAGCCATCAAAGAGATCGTTTATCATTATGTTGAATAGTGTGGGGCTAAGAATGCTGCCTTGGGGTGTGCCGTTTTCTAGTGGACACTGGTCCGACAAGGCCTGGTCTATACCCACTGTGATTTTACGGTTTTTAAGGAAACTTTGGATGTAGTTTATGATTTGACCTTTTAGTCCTATTTTTTTAAGTTTTTGGATTAGCCCGTTGTGCCATACCATATCGAAGGCTTTGGAAAAGTCCAGAAAGATGCCTGTAGTATATTGTTTATTTAGTTGTCCTGTTTTAATATCCTGTTCTAGACGTGCTAGGTTATCTAGGGTTGAGCGGCCGGGAGTAAAACCGCTTTGGTCTGAATTAATTATATTATTTTGGGTTAAGTAGTGTTGGAGTCTATTTTTTGCCATGGATTCCATTACTTTGCATAGGTTAGAGGTGAGCGATATTGGCCTATAGGAGTTGGCTTGGTTGGCTGGTTTACCGGGTTTAGGGATGGGGATAATGAGAGCTTCTTTCCAAGGATTTGGAACCTGGCCGTTTAGATAAATTAGATTATAGAGTTTTAGTAGTGACTGGAGTAGTTTGGGCGGGAGTTTTTTGATTATTTGGTAGGAAGTTAAGTCTAGACCTGGGGCTGTTCCTTTTTTCCTATTTTGAAGTACGTGGTTTAGTTCTTCTATTGTGTACGGTTGGTTTATTTCTAGGTTGTTATTGTTTGGTTCTTGGATAGGTTTGGTTTCTGCCTGGAGTTTTTGTTTGAATTTATGGCTGAAGTTGTTATTGCTACTTATTGCCGAAAAGTGGTTTGCTAGGTTATTTGCTTTTTCGCTGGGAGTATTTGAGTTGTTTATGTTAGGCGTTTTTTTTTGTTTTTTTAAGCCTCTGACGGCGTGGATTTTGCGCCAGACTGTTCTGGCATCTGTGCGATTATTTAGTCCCTCGCAGAATTTTTTCCAGTCTCTGGTTTTTGCTATTTTGACTAGTGTTTGGACTTGGTGGTTTAGTTGGTGAGCTACCGGTATGTGATTATGGTCGCGTTTGGCTTTATTGAAGGCTGATTTACGTTTTTTCCTAGTTTGTTCTATTTCCTCGTTCCACCAAGGTACCGAGGGCCTACCTGATTTATTTGGTTTTTTGAAAGGGATTGCGCTTTTGGCTGTGTTAATTATGAAGTTGGTTAAGTTCTGGCAGTATATTTCTGGGTCATTATTTTCTATGTTTTGTAGGTTTACTTGATTGCAAATATCTTGGAATTTGTCCCAGTTAGCTTTATTGTAATTGAATTTGGGCTCTGAGCTTTCAGTTTGGTGGGGGACGTTAGTATTTCCTATGGTTATATTTATTGGGAAGTGGTCACTTCCTAGGGGGGCGTCGTGAACTTCCCATTGTGTGCTTTGAGCTAGATCTGCTGTGCAGATTGTTAGGTCGATAGCCGACATGTTGTTATTGCTTTTATCGTATCTAGTGGGTTGGTTATTATTTAGAAGTACTAGATCGTTAGCCTCTATCCATTCTGAAATTAGTTTGCCGTGGTTATCTAGTTTATCCCCCGTGCCCCAGGAGGGGTGGTGGGCGTTAAAGTCTCCTAAGAAGATGGATGATTTGGTGCTTAGTTGTTTGAGAGTATTTAGATCCTCCGGTTGGATTTTTTGTTGTAGCCAGTGGTAGATATTTACGATGTTTATTTTTTTGTTTTTTAAGGTGATTTGGACGCCATTGGCTTCTAGGTTTGGGGTATTGACTAAGATTTCTTCGTAGTTTATGTCCTCACGGATAAGTATAATTAGGCCTCCCGATGCTCTTAGTGTTTTTGATTTAGGTCGGTCTAGTCTGACTGTGTTATAGTTTGGAAGGTTAAATTTGGATTTGCTTGAAAATTTGGTTTCCTGGATACACGCTACATGTGGTCCCTGTTTAAGTTTAAATCTAGCTTTAAGTTCGTGGCTGTGGGAGTTAAGCCCGTCCGCATTCCACTGGAAGATATTTAGGCCTGTCATTATTTGGGCTTTTAGTGTTTGGAGATTATGATTTTGGTTTAGGTTTTAATTTATAGTCCTGCGGTAGCTAGGGTGTAGCTTGCGTAGAATTCTGGGTAGGTTTGGGTTGTAAGATTTAGTCTACGAGCTACTTGGTGTAGGTTAGTGGCTTTAATGTCTGGTTTGATTTCTTTCAGCAGGTAGAGTAGAAGGATTGTGAAGTTATTTAGTTGGGTATTTAAGGGTGTTTGGGGTTCAGGTTGAGTTTGAGGTTTTTGAGATTTTTGGGGGCCGACCGTGTTATATCATTTATGTTAATCTGAGTTTCGGTTTGGGAGTCATCTAAGTTAATTAGATTAGTGTCCTCACTATCCATGGGGGTTGTTTGAGTGTTTAGTTGTGTCGTGCTGGGTATTTCAATGGGTTGAGTTATGTTTGTGTTTTCGGGTGTTGCTTGCTCGTGTCCGATTGTTGTTGCCCTGGTGGCTGTGGATTGTATGGTGTTTGGGTGGGATATGGCGGGTATGGTGAGTTTTGGTTTGCGTGCGGGAGTAGATGCAAGGACTGGTTTGGGTGTGGCGAATGTTGGCGGGTAGTGTGGGGTTTGGGTGTTTGTGGCTGTTGCGTGTGGTATTTTCATGGGGACGCCGTCAAACGGGCTCTGTAGGTGTGGTTCGTTGTTTGGTTGTGGTGTGGGTAGCAAGGGTGTTCTTGGATGCTGTGTCAGTTTTCGTGTTTGTAATTTGGCCGAGTCGATGTCTATGTGTCTGTTGGCCTGTTGGGTGAGGGTGTGTTTGTGGGGGCATTTGTTGGATAGTGAGGAGTGATTGGTTGTTTTGCAGTGAATGCACCAGGGAGTGCAGGATCCTGGACATTGAGGTTGAGCGCAAGTTCTACATTTAGTTTTTTGATATTTACAGTCGTTAGCGGTGTGGTTATATTGAAGGCAGTTAGTGCACTGTTTAACTTGTTTGATGTAGGGTTTAACTTCTAATTTAGATGACGCTCCGAAGGAGATGTGTTTAGGGGCTACTGGATATTTATCTGATTTTTGGAAGTTTATGATGACTATTGGCGTGTTGGTTATTCTACCGTTCCTATTTGAGGTCATTCTCCTAGTGCTGGTTATTTTAGGTTGGAGGGTGTCTGTGTTAAGATTTGCTTCGTTACTGTATAATTCTAGGTCTTCCTCTGACTCTCTAGGGTTTACTCTGATTACTCCTCTAGTGTATAGTTGCCAGTTTGGGGTTTGGTGGGTTACTGTGTATTGAAAAATTTCCGTTATTTTTTTGGCTGCATTAAGTGAGTGTTGGTCCGGAAAGATGATTTGAAATCCTTTGTGAGCTTCCCTGATTTTATCGAAGTGTATTTTTTGTTTTTTAAACCATAGTCCTACTTTATTAGCGGAGAGTACCTTACTTAGTGTGTTAATGGGGCCAGCCGCGCAGAAGTAGAGAGCGAACGTGACCATGGATGCAGGGATGGAAGGTGATGTGGGTGTTGTGTTTGAAGCGTCCAACTTCCGTTTTTTGGGGTTTGTTGTGGTTGCGGGCGAATCCGAAGTTTTGGTAGGAGAAGCGACTGTAGTTGGCTTTCCGAATTCGTGTGGGATGAGGGTTTCAGGTGTCCGATCGGAGGTGTTGTGGGCCTCCGATGGTGTGGGTGTCTCTGTGCAGTGGATGTCTGCCTGGGTGATTATACGTGTGTCGGCCATGTCTGTGGTTGTGCGTAGGTTGATGTAGTGTGTTTAGGTTTTGTTTGGGGGGAGGAGAGTGAGCTGAGCTTAAGAGGGGCTTTTGTGTGCAGAGTGGGTGACTGGGTGAGTGGTGTTTGGCTGGCTTCTGCGCTGTTTGGGTTTGTTGGTGAGTTGGTTTATTTAGTTAGGAGATTTTTTGAGGGTTGGTGTTTTAAGTGGGCTTGGGGGTGAGTTACTTTTGCCTAAGTTTGAAAGGGTGTGTTTGGATAGTAACTAAGGGATTTGTGGGTTTGGTATTTTAAGTGGGCTTGTGTGTGATTGGTTTTAACCTAAATTGTATGGGTGTGTTGTGATAATTACCGAGGTGTTGCTCTTGGGCTGGCTATCAGTGGAACTGTGCTGGCTTCGGAGGCTTGCTGGGTGAGGTTGGCTTGGTGGCTGGATGGCTTGGGTTGCTTCGTAGGCTGAGGAGGTGTTGCTAGCTTGGAGTACAAACTGCGACTGGTGTCAGGTGTGTGTAGTAGTAGTAGTATTGTAGATTTTACGACCGCTTCAGCCGTTGGCTATTTCGCAGGTGTGTGGGTGGGTGAAGGTAGAAATATACGGCCGAATGCAAAGCAACCAGCCGCGAATAGGATCGAAACCGTGTTTTTTGCCGTTTAGCTTGTCTTCACCGACGTCCGTGCGCTCAAAGCTTCCGATCCGATCCCCCTGCTTGCAAAAACATCCCCTGATGCCCACCTTCGGCTTTGACAATCGCTCAGACGTGTCCTCCCAAGCTCGTTACCAAACGCTACCACCATGAGAGATCTCTCCATGTCACTGCCGAGAGAGCTTGTCTCCATCCTGGAGCCCTTGCTGGCCTACCGGGTTAGGGACTACTCCCTCAAGACGTCTTTCAAGACCAGCACCTCCACCCTCTCCATCTCCTTTGACTTAGGTCAAAGGAAGAGGCCTCTGGGCTAAGCTACGGCTAAACACAAGCCTCAGGAAAACCTACTCCTGCCCAAACCTTCCCTGCACCCCGCCCGATGCAGAAGGTCAGGAGGAAGAAGTCCCCATCAGTCTCCATCATGGAGAACGAGGAGACCCTTCCCTCTACCCCCCGTCCCCAGTAGCAGCACACTTTGTATAAATAACAAAAAACAACTGTTCCATTTCATATCACAAGTGCAGGTTGCACAATGAACTGCAAACAATGCTGACATTCAAATATAATACAATATAATGAAAGGTGTACTCTTGTTGTGGGGGTATCCCAAGACACCGCTTTACTGTCCAAACTGACTCTCAGAAACTCAGTCATTATGTTCCAATCATTAACAAGGTCTTCACGGAAGGCACGTGCTTTCCGCGAAGCCGGGTGTGTTTGGTACACTTGGCTCCTGATCATGATCATGACATGTGAGTTTCTGCGAAGTACGGTGTGATTTTACAAAACTCTCCCTATCAACTCTATTCGGCGGGGCTATCTTTCCGAATGAATTGGCTACCTGGTATTTTGAAGGCCTTTTTGGGTGATAAAAGGGTTTCTTTATAAGCTATGATAAAGGTTTGAATTTTATTTTGGGCTATGAGGGCCTTAAGCTCATGCCCATTTGCCCCGAGACCATTGCAATTCCAATGTAAAATCACCATGGCTGATAATATAATAATTGACTTAATAAATGATATGGTGGGGGCCTAATTTAGACAGATGGGAGGGTTTGTTGAAAAGTTAAGTAAGTTGTTGTTTAAATAGTTTTTAAGTTTGAGGTTGGCTGTTTGGAGGCGAAGGACTGTCTGTTTGTTGAGAGGCATTCCAGCGACATGGTCTGACAGGCCGTCTTTCTAAAGTTCTGCGAACCCTTTGGGAAGTTTCCCTTGGGTTGGGTTGTTTAATTGGTGAGTTTTATTATACCCCGTGACGAAGAGGCAGGGGGATATAGGATTGGGTGCCGTCCGTCCTTCCGTCACATTTCGTTTCCGGAGCAGATCTTGAAAACCGTACCATATTGCTTCACCAAACTTGGCACATAGATAGATCTAGTGGTGAACTGGTGCCTTTTGATAGTTTTGGCTTTTTAAAAAAAAAAAATTTTTTTTGAGATTCCATGGCAACGACTTTGGTTTAGACTGAAAATGGCAGTAGTCCTCGTTTCCGGAGCAGATCTTGAAAACCGTACTATATTTCTTCACCAAACTTGGCACATAATGTCATCTCACAGTATTGAATTCATTTCCTTTCTAGTTGGTAAGTTCTGCATTGCTTGAGTGTATGTTCCTCCAAAAGTGTCATGGACACAGTTGTTGCATTCACTGACTTACTTCATGCAGAAACACAACTCATTACAAATACAACAGTGTAACTGATCTTAAACCCACTGAACTGTATAAACATTATATATACACTTGCTTGATAACGGTGTCAGAACCTTCAACGAAACCATCACTCCTAATTGTAATAAAGAAGTTGTTCGTCCATATGTCTCATCCTTACTCATTACAAATTCAGTTACATATTCTATCATAAACTGCAGATGGAAAAACAACACCAGTAATAACTTGTTTTAGTGCTGCAATTAGGCCATTTACATTGCACACAACCCGACATGTCATATTGGCGGGTGATGTGAGTATTTCATGCTTGTTTAAAGAGGTTTTAGGAGGGCTTGGGTATTTAGGTGTGTTGTTTTTTAGGCTTTGTGGTGAGAGGGGGTGTTTGTTTTAGTGGATTTAGGTTTTGAGCGTGGCTTGGGTGTAAGTGTTTTTGCTTGTGTAGAGTTGTGATTTGTATGAAAGGATGGATTTGTGTTTTGATAGTTACCTAGAGGCTCTCCTTTGGCTGGCTATCAGCCATGCTGTGCTTGGCTTCAGGAGGCTTGGGTGGCTGGAGAGGTCTTGCTAGCTTGGAGTACAAACTGCAGATGGAACGACGGAGGTAGGTAGGTCTTTGGAGATTTAACGTGCGCTTTCCGCGTGTAATAACTTACACTATAGTGTCATCATCTATTCCAAATCTCAAAATTCCCAAATTCTATATAAGCAACCCCTAAACCCCCCCTCTTGGGTTGAGCAGACCACTTTCGCCCCTTTCGGAAACACATTAAATGGCCTGGCGAAATACGCATCAGTCGGAAAGCGCACGTTAAATCTCTCAAAGTAAGTAAGTAAGTGAGTGTAATAACTTACACTATAGTGCATGTCGCACACGGTTACACTTATACTATTGGGGGGAAAAGTGTAAAGAATAAACAAGGAAGTGCAACCTAAAAAAATGTAAAGGTTTACAGTCCTTACTGAAAAGGCATTGCAATTGACACAGTATGGGGACCAGGAGCATTCTTGGATGGTGTGGTTTTCAGACCCACATTTGGAGCAGAGGTGTACGTAAGTCCAGTATCATTCAAGGTATCATTTCCTTTCTCTGTGATTTTAATCGTAGTATTTTTGTTGATTTTAACTCTTTGGCTAATCTGTCTGATAATCGCCAGTGGCCAGAGGGATGGTGTAAATCCTGCTGGGGTATCATGTAGGTAGCAGAAGTACCGTAAGTCCCCATGGTCCCTAGTATGGTGGCCTAACTTTGGTTGCTGGCGATCTACAGCCCGTTTTTATATTGTATTGTTTGAATTGTATCTGATTATTTTATTGCTCTAAAACTAGTTTTAAAATTATAATCTGTGATATATTGCTGGTTGTTGTACTGTCCTTCGATGACAGCTTTTAATATATAATATCAATGCCTAACTTGTTCAAGTCACCATATGGCTGAAATACTGCCGATGTGACTTTAAATATTAACTCACTCACTCACTGGAGCAGAGGTGGGTTTTTTTACAATCTGAAGACTTGTGTTGGAATGAGTGGCAGTAAATGCATTGGGGAGGTTTTTTTCTAATGGGGTGGACTTTGTAGTAGAAGGTTATGTGGGTGGGGAGAGTGGGGAGCTTTGAATGTGAGAAAGATTTGTTGCCTATTTGTTGGAGTATGTTTAGATCCTCTGGTTGGATTTTCTGTTGTTGCCAATGGTAGATATTTATGGTGTTTATTTTTTGTTTTTTTAATGTGATTTGGATACCATTGGATTCTAGGTTAGGAGTGTTTATTTTGATTTCTTCATAGCTTATATCTTCTCTAATTAGTATGAGTAAACCTCCTGATGCTCTAGTGAATTTGGATTTGGGTCGGTCTGTTCTGACTGTGTTATAGTTTCCCAGGTTAAATTTGGATTTATTTGAGAATTTAGTTTCCTGGATGCACGCTACAAGTGGTCCTTTGTTTTGTTTGAATTTAGCTTTGAGTTCGTGGCTGTGAGAGTTAAGCACGTCCGCATTCCACTGGAAAATATTTAGGCCTGTCATTATTTGGGCTTTTAGTGTTTGGAGATTGGTTATTTGTTTTTTGGTTTAAGTTATTGTTCAGAAGTTACCAATAGATAGCTTAGTTGGAAGTCTTGGTAGTTTTGAGTGGTGAGTTTAAGTTTGTATGCTACTTTATGTAGGGCTTTTGTGCTAGCTTCTGGATTGATTTGTTTAAGCATGTAGGCCAGTAAGAGTGTTACACTATTTAGTTTGGAAGTTGGGAGTGTTTGGGGTTTTCGTTTTCGTTTTTTTCGTTTTTATCCTCCTCGGTTTCGAATTCACATTCGTCTGAGTTAATTTCGTTTATTTCCTCACTCTCCATGGGGGTTGTTTGAGTGTCTGGTTGTGTTTGCATGTGCGTGATGGGCATGTCCATGGTTGGTTACTGCTTGGGTTTTCGGGTTGTGCTTGCTTGGGTGTGATTGTTGTTGCCCTGGTGGCTGTATGCTGTATGGTGATAGGTTGGGTGGTGGCGGGTGTTTTGCGTGCGGGTGTGGATGTTGTGATTGGGTTTGGTGTGGCGAAGGTTTGGGGGTAGTGTGGGTGGTGGGTGGTGGATGCTTGGTGTACTTCCTGGAGGATGCCATCCCATGCGGAGTCTAGGTGTCGGGGGTCGTTTGGTTGCGGTGTGGGTAGTAGAGGTTGTTTTAGATGCTGTGTTAGTTTTCTTATTTGGTGTTTGGCCGTATCGATATTTATATGTCTGTTGGCCTGTTGTGTGAGGGTGTGTCTGTGGGGACATTTGTTTGAGAGTGAGGAGTGTTCTGTGGTTTTACAGTGTATGCACCAGGGTGCGTAGGTCCCTGGGCATTCAATTTTGGGCGCATTTTCTACATTTAGTTTTTTTGAATTTACATCCGTTAGCAGTGTAGCAGTGTAGATTATATTGGAGACAGTTAGAGCATTGTTTAACCTGTTTGATGTAGGGTTTGACTTCGGGTTTAGTGGATGCGCCAAAGGAGATGAAATTGGGGGCTTCTGGGTATTTAGCTGATTTTTGGAAATTTACAATGATGATTGGGGTGTTAGAGATTCTACCGTTCCTATTTGAATTAATTCTCCTAGTGCTGATGATTTTAGGTTGAGGAAATGTGTCAGTGTTTTCATTAGCTTCGTTTGTGTACATATTAAGATCTTCCTCTGATTCTCTAGGGTTAATTACTCCTCTGGTGTAAAGCTGCCAGTTTGGGGTTTGGTGGGTTACAGTAAATTGAAATATTTGCGTTATTTTTTTGGCTGCGTTAAGCGAGTTTTGGTCTGGGAAAATTATTTGGTAGCCTTTGTGTGCTTCTTTAATTTTGTCAAAGTGGGTTTTTTTGTTTTCTATTGATCTTGATCAAACGCCTCATCCTGGACCACGATGAGCGGATCCCCGATTCGGTGAAGATGATCTCTGGATCTTAAGTACTGAATCCGCCTTCTCTAGCGAAGCTTGGTTGCCTTTCCCCCTGGGGGGTCCTCGACCGGTGTGGTCTGGGTTTGGCTGGTGTTAAAGCTGGGTAGTTCTGGAGTGGCTGTTTGGGCGAAACTGTCGGCTAGATAGGGTGGTGCTGGTGAGGGCGTCTGGCATTCTGCAGACGCGGTGGTGGCTGGTCGGAGGGAAGGTTCGGGTGAGGGTATGTCTCTCCTCTTCCTTTTCTCCGAGCGAAAGGGCTCCTCCCCTCTGGATTCGAGGGGAGCGAGTTCCAGTGCTGCTGCGGGGGGGCGGGGGTGTGGAGGGCAAGGTATC